GGAATGTCTGACTTGTTACTAATAACTTCAGTTTAGAAATATCTGACTTTTCTGAGTTGTCTGTTTAAATATTTCCCAATATTTTGAAGTTATTGCATAGTTGTATGCAAAATTGGTAACATTTACTTTTTTTTCACCAGGGTTAAAAGAGAGCAAGCAGCTATAAAAATTCAGAAGAGATGGTGGATGCATATGACAAAAAGACTATTTAAACTTCTGAAACACACAATTCGTGCAGCGGTAATGTCTTGTATACCTTATATGCCTGACTAAATATAGCATTATTGTTTTACCCTTTAACTTCTTTTTCTTTCCACACCCCCTGTTTTAAGATCAATCTCCTAAATGCAGACATATTGGTTGTGTTCAAATAACAAAGATTTCTGAAGTAAAAAAGTCTCTGTCTTGCTTCATAATATCAAAGTTGTAGAAACAGCACAGCTATCATCCGAAGCAAGCTATGTCAAGAGGCTGCTGAACAACTAAATTGAAATCCAAGTCAGCTACCAGGGAAAAGTTTCCAAACAATCAGAAAACAAACAAAAATAGCATCCAACAAATTCAGGAAGTTATGAACACATGTTGAAGGAATGAATGAAATAGCATTGTTCCAGCTATAGCCTGCATTCAAAGCTGGTACTCTAAAGTCAACTCTCAAAAACATATACAGACTCTAGCATAGAGATGTCAAACTCAAGGCCCATGGGCCGGATCCGGGAAGATGGCACAGCCATCCTGGAAATGGTAACGGGGTGGCCCACATTGCTTCAGCCAGGACCATCCCTTCCCGGCGGCTGTGAATGTGCAAAGAAGATGGCAGGTGCACAGGCCCGGTCCATGCCATCCCGGTAGTCGTCCGTGCGCATAGGAGGAAGCAGGCACATGCTGGGATAGGGTGGACCACGCCTGTGTATCCATGTACCCTCCTGTGTGGACGTGTGCCTGCCTCCTGAGGAATGGGATGGGCCAGGCTGAAGCGACACAGGCCGGGCATCTACCATTTATGGGACATCCACACTTAGCACACATGGCAGCACAGGCAACAGGCAGAGTAGGGAGGAAGGCATGTGATGCGCAACACTGAATGCACCTGCTCTCATCCCATGTGGCTGGGACAGTGCAGGTGGCCTGCCAGCACATCCAGCAGCCTCTCCTCTGCATTTTTACCTCTGGCTACTGCTGCTGCTGCGGGCCAAGACAAGGTGAGGAGAATGTGGGGTGACTACTGCCAGAATCATTGACCTGCCTACTCGGCCCCATCTCTTTTTGCTTGCAGTTGGAGAGCAGGTCGCCGTTGGTCATCTCGGCCTCCTCGGGGATCTTACCCTTCAGCTGCACGTGGAGTGTAACACACCTCGCTACTTCTGTGGGCAGCTGCCACCACTGAAGCTGCTAGCAGCTCATGCAGGTCTAGTAGGCCACTGCCATCATTGCCTGGAGCACCAGGCCCGCCCAGCACAAAGGAGGCAAAGCGGCCAGCTAGAAAGCTTGAGTAGAGGTGGTAGAGCACACTCAGGCCCAAAAGGCAAAAGGCAGCCACTGTGAATGGGGAAAGCTGGGTCCCCATTGACGCTATGGTCTCCCAAGCCCAGCCAGGATCGCGTGCCTCCCTCTGTGTCTGCTGGGCCTGGGTGGCCATGGCGCTGATGGGGATCTATCTTTCCTCTTTCGCAGCCTTTATACCTAGCCGCTTCACTTCCTCCTGAGTGGCAGCGGCAGCAGGTCTGCCAAACAATGGCAGGGGCTGTACATGGGGAACATGCTCCACAGGCAGGCCAAGGGCAAGGCCCATGAGGGTGCTGAGGGGAAGATGACCAGTGACGACCTGCTCTCCAGCTGCAAACCAAATCAGACAGTGGGACAGAGTAAGCTCATCCATCGGTCTTCATCACATGCCACTTCCCCACCTCCGTCTGCTGCTAATGTCGCTATTGCGCATGCTGCTGAGACAGCGAGCCCGGTGGAGCAGGCTCCAGAGCTGCAGAGTGCGCCAACTGAGGGGTTGGAAAACATCGACCCCCCCATGCATAAAGGGCAGGGAGCGAGCAATGGCTGATCATTTCTGGCACCAGCCACTCTGACCCCCAGAGGACAACCTCAATGCTGATGTGGCCCGCAATGAAACCAAGTTTGACACCCCTGCTCTAGCACAATTAGCCATCAGGTCAGATAAAAAATCGTTTTGACAAATGGTGCCTGATGTCCGAATAAGGTCAACACTATTTCTCAGATAAATGCCATGTTTTTTTTCAGATTCAATTTTGTGCCATCCAACTATTTTACCATTTTCCCTGATTCTGTTAAAGATTCCCAACCACATGAAAATCTGAATTTTTCCTTTACATTACAAACTACAGAATTTGATGCTATTTGGAAAATTAAAATTCTGAAAGTTTGGTGTGTGTGTGCATGTGTGTGTGTGTGTGTGTGTGTGAATGTACCATGTTTCCCTGAAAATAAGCACCAAGCAGAAAATAAGCCCTAGCATGATTTTAGGATGCTTGTAATATAAGCCCTACCCCAAAAATAAGCCCCAGTTAAGATTGTCAGCCCTTGGGGTGGTGGACGTGGCCAGGACAGAAGGCAGTGAGCACATGGGGGCTGATGGTTTTCGGCAGGAGCAGCATCCCGCTGGCCATTGGCCGATAGATGCTGGGGCTATGCAGCCCACACTATGCAGGTGAGTCCAAGCACTGTGACCGCTGGCCTGTCCATTGAAGCAGGAGGTGGAGACAGAGGCATGGAGGGGGGGTCCTGGCTGCCTCTTGGGGATGGGGGCTCTACCTTTCCTGTTCTCTGGAGCCGTCACAGTTGGGGCAGTGGGTGGGAGCATCATCCTGCGTGTGAAGGCATAAGATGGTGCCTGAGCATGCAGGGGCCACTCTGTGGCAGCAACCTCATCCCACCACCTCACCTCACTTTGCGATGGCAGAACCACCCCCTGGCAGAGGTACAGGAGGAATGCAATTCAGCCCCTCCAGATGTGCCGCACGGCCACAAGCAAAAACAGACGGGATGGGTGTCCAGTGGACTGGATCATGTGCCTCCACTTGCTGCATGGAGGTCTGGCCCAGCAGTTGCAGTGCTCAGACTCACCTGCACTGTGTCTTATTTTTGGGAAAACGTGGTAAGATGAAAGATAAAATCTAACAAGAACCAAGAGGGATGAAAAAGAAAAGAAATAAGAAAAGAACAGAAAAAATGCAAAAAAATGCTTAAAAAATGACTTCCAATTACTTTTATAGCAGTTTTAAGTATAAATGTAAATTAAACTCTTATTTTTTTAATCTAAAAACCCCATATTATGATTTCATTCTTTTCCGTTTCACACAAAAAGTCACTAAAGGGTTCTGATCAGTATTAAACCAAGATAAACAGAAACCTTTTGGGAAAAGTGTATTTTTGAGGTTTGATAGCTAATAACATCACTTTTTTCGAGTAGTGCCATAAAATTATATATCAATGAAAAGATAATTTAATTAATAATGTAATGCAATAAAGTTTGTTCAATTATCTGTATTCTATGAGACGTTATAGCCAAATAACCAGAAAAAGGAAGCACAACTTGCTTAGATTGATATCAGGTAAGTTGAAAAGACTAAACTGGGCTAAAACCCATGTTACCTAGACAGACGATATATAATTTTATGGTACTATTAAAAAAAAAAGTGATGTTATTAGCCCTCAAACCTCAAAAATAGTGTATATTTTTCCCAAAAGGTTTATACACTTTTGGTCACTACTGTAGATTAAACTGTCTCTGGAATTCTAAAGATTCATTCTGATTCTCTAGGAAAAGTATGAACTTAGTATTTAGTACAATGCTATATTAAGGTAAAATTCATATGTATGTTGGCCACACCAACATTTATTTCTTGGTAAGAAATAAAACTTATATTTGATTTTTTTATTGAACATTCAGCTTTAATTAAAAAAAACTTTAACACTTTTACTGTAAAGATGTAAGAAAAAAAGTGCCCCTCCCCAACAATTTCTCCATTTAAAAGCAATAGGTTCAGAAAGAACAGAAAGAACATGCCATTCTGGGATGGGAATTTTTCAAAATCTCCCCTCCTAAACAGAGATATTTGAGCTAAATTAATAGCTCAATGGATTTCAAAGATATAGAATAAAAATTGCATTGCAGATTCAGGGACAAGTAAAAGAAAAGGATATTTTTTTTAAAAAAATAATTAAACAAATCCATATCTGAGTTTTAACTGTCACCATTCAAAATATATTAGAGTGCAGTATTGTACCTTTGCAATACTGATCTAGACCTGCAATATATATATTCAGTATATTAGCTAGGCTTTATAGCTTGATAGTGACACCAGTTGCATTTCTCTGCATATATCACATTCTTCATTATTTTCTTTCAGCAATCCACTACAAATTTTGAGGTTTCTGCCATTAGTAATAGGAAAGTAAAGATTTATTTTCATCAGTGAGTTGATCATTTATTGGCAGTAAGAAACCAATTCTGTTTCCCAACATTTTAAATAGGAAGCATTTAAATTATAATACATATTCTAAATTAATTTTATATAGTATAAAAAATAAAATATTCCCGTTTTTTAAAGCCTCATTCTTTCTTATATGTGTAAAATATTTAGCTTTTTTGCATCATTATCTCACTGTGCCTTTTTTCCCCACTGAAAATGTTGGAGCCATGGCCATATATCTCTGTCTTACATTTGTAGTAATTACAAATAATATATTGCAAAATTTATTTTTAGAGTTGAACAGCATTATCTTATAATATTTCAATTACTGTTATTTTGCCTAAAGATGGGATGGTTTTAATTTAGTGCCAATAAATATCTCAATATTCTAATTAAAGTTTATTGAAAAACAGATATTATTTTTTCTGAGTGAAAAATTTGAAAACCAGGGCTCTAATATTGTAGTGTAGATCACGTTATTCAGTATTCCTACAAATAGCCATATAATATGATTTTCCATATCTCTTTCCCACATCCTCTCTTTTCCACATCCTCATCCCAGTGATATTCAAAACCGTATAAATACTGTGTATGCTGAGTACTCATTGAGCTATTTGCTTGTTCAAATATTTCTCCAAATATTTCAGTTTCTAAATCTTGGGCTATTTTAAGCATACTGTTACCTCTGTTTCTCTTACTAACCTCAATTTGCATACACAGTGATCATAACATTTCTGTAAATATAGAACGTTGCAAATCTATTGGATAAATACTGTATTTCTTTCAGGAGTATTGCATTAGCTATGATATTCTAAAAAGAGTGAGTCCTTTAGAAGCTGAACTTCTTAAAGAACCTACTATTCAATATAAAGTCCGATTCAGGTAAAATTAGTACTTATATTTCCTTAGTTCCATGTATGAGATTACTTTTGTCAATATGACAATGTTTTTGTATACAGAGAAGGAATCAGTGCATTTTAAGCACCATTCATATTTTGTAGTATTAGGGAGACAGCCACTAAATTTTACACTACCAAGCCAATTGTGATTTTGTTTACCATATTGTTCAAACATAGTGCATGGATCAGATTGTGATTAAGGACAAATGTAGAAACCAGACTAATACCAAAATAAGAAATGTGAAGAGAAATCAATACTTTATTGTTTAATCTGCTTTCAAAAAAGTATTTATTTATGCCACAGGAGAGCATTCAAATTTACAAAAGGGAAGTCTGAAATATAGTTTCTATTCAATAATTTCTGAACATCTAGCCTTTAACACATACATACATATGTTAATCTGATTAAACTGATCACTTATTGATTAAAAAAATGAAGCAAGAGTTATATTGTACATTCAGAATTGGTTTTTATTTATGATTGCTGAGAGATTTTTCAGAATTTTCTATACAGTTGTAATTCAGAAAGGGGAGAATGCTCACTAAATGCTCTTAGGAATTGGATGTAGACAAATGGAAATTGTTTCTCTTCATAACAGGAAAATATTTACTGCAATATAGTCAATTACCAAAAGGCATTTTTGCATGTAGTACCTACAGTATGCTGACTCAGATTATGATAAAAAAGCAGAGTCATTTGTTTCTACATTGTGCTTAAATCAGAAAAGTAGTTCTTTTGGTTGCCTTAATTTACAGCCATTAAAAATGTTTAAAATAATAATGAATCATATTGTTTGAATAGGAAACACTTAAATGAGTTATGACTTCTAAGGCAGAATATAAATAAATTTTTCATAAAAATATTCAGTTTTTATATTTCCTCCCTTCAGACTTGCTGGATCTGATTTCCCCCCTTTTATTATATTTAAAATCTTTTGTAAAACAAGAACAAAAAACAACCAATATATCAGTGGGAAAAGAGTAATAACATCGGAAAGTAAGGTAAATATACTGTTGGTTTTGACTATTTTCTATTTATCCAAACTTTTTTGCATGTTTATTATCTATCATATGTTATTTCAGCTGGAGTAGACATGTAACATACTTATCATAACTTGAAATTTTAAACATTATTTAATATTTAATCAAATATGATTTGAGGATACCTTTACCTATTAATATATCTGTTAAAACTCTTTTTAAGAGGTGATCTTGAGAAAGAATTCTTTCAGATTTTTAAAGAAATAGTTATTTTCAGGGGTGAAATCAACCTTCATTACTGGTTTGCAAATGTGAGCGTGCACGCTAGCTTCACTCACATGCACCACCTCCACACATGCACAAGATAGAACCGGCTGAATTGCACCACTGGTTATTTTGACAACTTGAAGTTCTGTGGCGAGGGAATTCTGAGAATTGAAGTCCACACCTCTTCAAATTTCACCACTCCCACTACAAAATACATGAATATGGAGGTCCAACTATATATACAGTAGCAGCACGGCAGTGGGGGGTTTCAAAAATTTTTGGAATCTACTCTGTGGGTGTGGCCTGATTTGTGGGAGTGGTTTGCCGGCCATGTGACTGGGTGGGAGTGGCTTGGCAGTCATGTGACTGGGTGGGA